TCCGCAATTCCATTGCCTCTGATTATTTTACTGTTCCACACTTATGAAAAGATGACTTCAGTATAAATTACAGTGTACCACATAGAAATTACCTGGAGGTGTGCGGGGTTGCGAGTCCGGAGCTTCAGGGGCACTCCGAGTTCCTGAGCCGCTCGCCTCTCCTACATCCCTTCGTTTAGGCCCAGAACCAGGCCTTGCACCTCCTGCTTGGTGATCAGGTTTATTCTTGCTGCCTCTGGGTCTCCCAATTGGCCCTGACATGTTTATCTTGCAAGCAATGTGGGGGAAAACAAGGGAAATGTACGCGCGACGACGACAACGGGTATCTATTAATATTAGGCTATATTAGGCTATATTAGGTCCCGGCATCGCCTCGGCATCATGTGGGAGCGAGCCAGGCCGCTTTAGGCCTGCGTGGGAGCGAGCCAGGCCTAAAGCGGCCTGGCAGGCCCAATGCGGCCTGGCCAGGCCTAATCGGGCCTGGGACGGTTCCACATATGACACCAGAGCCAGGGTAGATGTCCAAGTGTCGAAGCGCTCTATTGCCGTAAGCTATAACACCCTTGTGGCACGCCTTATTAATAGTTAAGGCACGGAGCCAATGCGGACCTAAGTACACGTCGCCGGAGAGTCTTTGATACGCCGGACAGAGCCACGGAGGGTCCCATATCGGTCCGGCGCGTCCAGCGGTCCACCGGAATCTGAGCGAGCATGATCAGTGTGTTGTGATGTTTCTTTGCAGCTCATTTTATTCTTCAGTCCTGCGGGAAAGAACAGTGAACTTATTCGAGCCTTCACTGCATTCAGCGGCCCCCTAGTAATGGATCACGTCGAGGTGATTAGATGGGCATCGACGGGCAGATGTAGCTAGGCAGCTGTAGATGCCAGCTAAGCCATCTCTCGGCTGGCGGCACATAAACCCGGTCGGGTCTAGACCGCTTAGATTGACAAGTCTAGACAAATAGGCGCACATAGACGTCATATAGACGAATCTAGACCCGTCTCAGATGATCTACGATTTCGGTAATCTAGGAGGGCTGAATGCAGTGTTTGTCATCCACTTCTGCTGTTTCCTTTTCAACAACACTTTGAAGATTTTATCTCCAGGTTGCTGTGATCTATTCATGTTGTCTATCGATCACAAGGTTCGCAAACTATGGTTCACCTTCAGCTTCATGCCGGAGACAGCCGGATTGTATGGCCATTCACAGTCCCTGAGCAGAAGAAGGTAGACACAAACCTCCCCATCCTGTGGATGACGTCCGATTTCGACTTAAAGTGCGTACTCCTTAGAACTACAAAGTCCTATCTGATCATAATCACTGCCCACAGTCTATCGACGGAGTTGACCACCTTCGCCCATGCGCAGATGCCCAACGCGACGCTGGTGGTGTGCCACGGAGACAACCACTGTTCCATTGACGGTGCGCACCCTATCTCCGTTATTTATTAAAAAATTACATTCGGCATCCTAACCCATCTATTCATTTAGTCGCTCCCCCTGCTAATGCCGTTCAAGGTATCATGGCACAATTCATCCGCACTGGTGTGATGCCCGGCCCCTGTGACGACGGCTTCATCACGATAGTCCCTCCCGGTACATGCACGCCGGTCCCTGGTGCATACGATGTGCCCACTGGCGCGATAGTGGGCGATATCAGTGGGATCCAGGCTATTAGTTAAGGAATTTTAGTTCTATATGTACCTGATTAATATATTCGACTTTTTCTCGGTGGCTTGGTCCACGAGTATACTGCTGAGGCAGCAAAGCCTTGGTTTGATCGATGGGCTGATGTTGGAAAGATCGTCGTTATTTTTTCTCTTCCACCATGACATCTTCATCCCGCTGAGCCTTCCTCGCATGAACTTTCATTTAGGATGTATTTCGATAGGTAGATGCAATCTACTTGATTAGACGATTAGAGGAATATGGAGGATACGAAGAAGTAAAAGCAGGGAAGGTGGGCGACGGACGAGCCTTGAAGCTAAGGATGACGAGACCAGACCAACGCGAAATACGGAGAGAGCACTCGTGGCTGAAGTCTGTAATTGACCAAAGACCGTTCTAATCGAGCCTGGGACATATGTGTCCCCTTTGCGTCAGATTTATTTACCAACTCACCGGCCCGCATCCGCGAGAACTCAAAAAATCTGGGGGCAATGTCGCAAATATTCGATTTGGAATACAACCTCAGATAGGGCCTTTCTGAATCTTATAGGCAAAACACGCAGGGTTATAGCGCCTTATAAATACTTATAACCCCGCCTCTTTTGCCTATAAGGTTCAGAAAGGCACTATCTTGGCTTCTGATTCATGATCAAGAGGAACTTTTGCGACAAAAGTACTATCGCACATCAGTTGGCCGGTTGTTGGTAGACATTTCCCTATTTACGGTTAAAGTCCTAGGGAAATTCCGAAGTACAAAATTATAGGCCCAGTAGCTCTGTACAACTTGAAAAGATTGCGCGTTGAAACCAATTTAATTCAAGGTGCTCGTAAGTAACATAGGGGTTTCGGCAACAGCCGCGGTTTGGTCGAGATAACAACTCAAAATATGAACACATCAACCTCGTGTCATTTTGCTCGACCAAATCCACGTCCATGGCCATGAATGGCATTACAGACTCTGCAAATTCTGTCCACTCTGATTCTGCGCCTCAACCGCAGCTTCTCGACACGTCCGAGCGCGAAGCGTCAATAACGACGCTGCCTCCTGAGCTCATTTGCGAGATATTCTCCTGGACTTTACCCGTAAAGACCTACATGAATGATGGGGTCAAGTTGAAGCCATCATACGTACCCATATATGCCCAGGTCAAGAGTAGTCCCTGGATTTTGGGACACGTATGCCAGCAATGGAGAGCGCTAGCTCTCTCGTGCCCTACTCTTTGGTCCTCCATTACCGTGATCGTGCCGAGGACGCCGCCCATTCGCAACCTACCCATCCTTGAAGAACAACTCCGTCGGTCAGCCAATTCACCCCTCGATGTGTTCATTGTTGCCCAAAGCTCCGGTCGGAATTGGGGAGATCAAGAGTGTTTACGGATGCTCATCGGATGCTGTGGGCGGTGGCGGTGTTTTTACACCGAGGCTTTGTTGGGCCCAATATTTGACCCCATTCGAAACAATCTCCCTCTGCTGAAAGAGCTGATTGTCGCCCCGTCTCTCGGAGCGAAACCGAATGATATGTTTCTAAATGCTCCGAGTTTATCCAAGGTTGTCCTGGCCGGCAGTAATTGGATGCCTGACATTACTCTCCCCTGGGTGCAGCTAACGGAATATAGGGCCTCGTTCGCCCCCCTCCACCATTTCGGCCACTTGCGCGCAGCGCCGAACCTGATCCATTGCGACATCACTGTTCAGACGCATGATAGTACTATGGATCCTCCCAGGCTTCACAACTACCCCCAGTCTGGGCAAACCACAACCCTCCACGCGCTGCGCCGTCTAGTGATCAGCATCGACAAATTTCTCCATTACCTCGTTACTCCTGCTCTCGATGAGCTTTATGTCATCGGAGCATGCGACGCTGTCCAACCCTTCCTTGACCGTTCTTCCTGTGTATTGACGCGCCTCACACTGTACCAGTGCAACTCATATGACAGCATCATCCCGCTTCTGCACAGCACTCCATCCCTTACCACCCTCCAAATCGGCTTCTCCGGCGGAGCGGAGGAGATGAGCAGCCTCATCTCAGCTCTTACAATCGATGCAGAATCGGGGGGACCTTGTCTGTCTCCCAACTTGACCTCCATCTCATGGGCAGATCGAAAATGTGTCCTCAGCCACGCCGCTTTCGTGGACATGGTGCAGTCACGATGGCGGGTGACTGATACCACCTATTGTCGCCGCCTGCGTTCTGTCGAGATCCTCCTCGGTCGTGTTCGTATAATCAAAACTCGGACAATTGGCAAGCACTTGGAGGCGTTTCGTGACGAGGGACTCGAGGTTTCTATTGTTGATTGTCGTCAGGTGCCAACTGCGATTGCGAAGTGGAGGGAGTGGTAAAGGATTTCATATACTAATATTTTAACTGTACTTAAAACCACCCTTTCAGAGCCGAAGGCCCGGTTCCGCGTTGGCGGAAACTCAGCTGAGCGTGGTTCATTAGCGGAAGCCGCCTGTTCTAGCCGTAGAAATAGTTACGCAGATGTATAATCAGCTAGCCAGACATAAGACCTAGACACACCTAGAAAGGCTCTGTCTAGGTGAATTAGCCAGAGTTCTCCGATGCCTAGGCATAGAAGGTCAGGGAACGTAGTGCACCTTATGGATACAGAAATGAAGGCCCAGTGGCAGAAGGTCCGTACATGTCCAGGGAATTGTATTGTTTTCCAAGCAGATTACGTCCGTTCAACTCGGGCCTGGGCCATGTTTCACGTCCTATATCCTTTTATTTGGTCTCTCATAGCCGCACTTCAACTATTCTAACTCGCTCCTCATTACCTTTTATTCAACTCAAGGTGCAAATTGAACCAACCTAATGCAGTTTCTATATGTACCAGGAATGAGAGAAAAGGCCCAGTTGCGGATGGTTCCGCGTCTGCTGAACTTGTTCAAAGTCTGTACCGAAATCCTATCCTTGGCCCGTCTTCTTTATTTTTTTTCAACTTGCTAATTCAATCAACTAAACGGAGTATCTGTGTATAGAAATATAGGCCCAGTGGCGGATGGTTCCGATTGTGCTGAACTTGTTCAAAGCCTGTACCGCGGTACCATGCAGAAGACGCTTGTTCGACTCGAGCCTGGACCTTGGCCCGTCTTCCCTCATTAATTTTTTTCAACTTGCTAATTCAATCAACTACAAGGAGGATCTGGGTATAGAAATATAGCCCCAGTGGCAGATGGTTCCGCGTCTTCCATACTTGCAATGGCTTTGGAGATTAAATAGAGCAAGTTAGTTCGATTCGAGCTTGGACCGGTGGTTTGGAATCTGGATATTATTTTATTCAACTCACTGAGATTTACCCCATCTTGAGGCGTCAAAGGAAGGGAGAAAGGCTCAGTGGCGGATGGTTCCGCGTCTGCTAAGCACGAAATGCTGAAGACAACCAACAGTAGGCAGAATACGCTCGTTTGAATCGAGCCTGAGCCGTAATGGCATTTTTTATTCAACACGGTAATTGCAACTCTGTTAAGCAGAGTGTATTGGTGAGAGAAAGCGGGATGGCTTCGGTGTCTGCGATAATTCAAAAAATGGCGCAGAAGCAGAGTATGCTCGTTCGACTCGAGCCTGGGCCATGCATGTGCGACTCGTTTTTTTTCATATGCATTTTGCTGCTTGAAATCAACCCATCTATTTGGATTTCAAAGGAGGAGAGAAAGGCCTAGTGGCGAAAGGTCCGCGTCTGCGATACTTGAGCCTGTAGATTCATTGCAATGATCTTACGCAGAATATGCTTGTTCGAATCGAGCCTGGGCCATACAAAGCCAGAATTCATGCTTTTTTTATTCAGTTAACCTGTTTGCCAAATTTACCCCATCTCTTTAGGTTTCAAGGGAAGAGAACAAAGCCCAGTGGCGGATGGTTCCGCGTCTGCTAAACTTGTGACACTCTTCAAGTTCAGGATATCGAGGTATGCAGAAGACGCTCGTTCGACTCGAGCCTGGGCCATGCCACTGCCAGTGGCATGGTGGAATTTTTTTATTCCGCTTGTTAATTGAACCAACTTCACTGGGTTGTGAAGTATAGAAATGTCGGCCCAGTGGCGGATGGTCCGCATCTACTGAACTTATCGGACTCGTAATCTAGATACCGAGGTATGCAGAAAGCTGACCCACGTCAACCCCGCCCCAGACATCACGTGCTGATTTCCCCTTACGGAATCCTGTTGTTCGCAATACAAAATCCGCCTCTCGTGCCACCGAAATATTGCTCAAAATATGTTTATACACACCAAATCCATCATTGGAATGTGACCCAATATTTTCCCAAAATTAGACCGTGTTTCTAAATCAGGAGTCTGATCATAATAGTCAACTGACTTTCCCTCTTATCTATAGCCCAATAGTTCAACTGGAAAAATGCTTTGCAGTATCTGTGTTTGTAATCTAAGTCCCCGGATGTCCTCAGTTCAATTCTCTGAGCTCCATTTTTTTTTCGCAGCTAGCGATAATTGTCATTTCACGTGCTAGCCAAATATGACCATACATGACGTGTCTTTTTTTTCATCTCTCGCTCGCCCCTTCCTGGCCATTAGCAACATGGACAATAATGCCTCAGTCCCTTCCCCAAAAAAATGCTCACAGTCCAAGTGCAAGACTATGCTCCCGTATGGCTACGGCACAAAATCCTGCCAGTCTTGTCGTGACAAGGACAAAGCGCGCAAGAAGAGGAAGCGTGACAATGAGAACGAAAACAATGGTGAAAGTGAAGCATCAAAGAGAGCTCGTGTTGAGCTCGAGAATATCGATCCCAGCCTCGAAAGTACATGTCAAATATTCCGCAGCGCAGTCCTTTCTTTGCTCACATATTTTTAGCCCTTCCAGTGCCAAGCAGCGGTCCCGACGCGGAAATGGACGATGGAGAGGATGAAGAGGATCACAATGGACATGTAAGCCCTTTGTTTCGTTATTTATACTCGCCCTGAGGGCTTCATTTTATTTAGGAGGCAACACTATATACAGACAGTCAAGAATTATTCACCGCACTTCGACAGGCTTTCCACACAACAAAAGATGTTGAATTCCACGGCACCTACCATCTAGCCCAAGATCCTCTCGTTTCCAATAAGCAGCGTGTTCAAATGACAACCTATGAGATATGGAAGGTGACTGGATATCGATTCAGGTATGTCCCAACCAGCTCTCAAGTGTTTGCAGTCTAAATATATGTTGACAGGGTCAAAGAAAATAGAACACTCAAGAAAGGCCATCATACTCGCCTTTGGTGTTGTCAAGATGCGAACCGCAAGCAAAAGTCGCGCCCAAGCGAACGCGAAGGAGCCAAGCCACGGGATACACTCGGCATGAAGCGGTATCTGTGCCAAAGCAGCCTCAACATCTCATGCTGCAATGATGGATCCAAGACTGCTGTACGGATTCGTCTCCACCATCACGAGTCGCATGTCCATTACTACGATGTCGCTCTGCCCCCACAAGCCGTCGCAATTATACGCGAAAAACTTGAGTGGAGCACACCGAATGAGATGGTGGGTATGGTTCAGGACCGTTTTCCACAGGTGACCTCCAACCAAATCCATCGTGCTTGGTCGCAGATGAGTGAAATGCTGTGGAAGCGCGACACTCTGCAGCTACCTTCAGCAGAGACTTTACTTCGTGAATATGGTGATGAGGTCGAGGTCCTGAATGTTCAGCCCGCTGAAGGGGTGGAGCAACTGGCCTGGGTCATGAAAAAAATTGCAGAGCCTCTTCGTGGGAAGATAGTCGAGATCGGAATCGATGCTACCTGTGCGCAATGTTTATCCGTTCCGTTCAATACTGACTCTTAATATATAGACAATACGAACTCGAAACACCTGGAACTCTATTCTGTCCTCGGCGAATACGACAATGCAGGATTCCCTCTGTCTTACTGTTTATTATCGACCACAGGCGCAATGGGGATCCACAAACGCCGTACAGCATTACGTGCCTGGGCGGAACAATTGCGTGACAAGTACGGTGTCAGGCCTCATTTTGTTCATGTCGACAAAGACATGGCGGAAATTGGCATGATACGTGATGTATGGCTGGCGAAGATACAGCTCTGTTGGTGGCATTTGCGCGAGGCAGTCAGAACACGGCTGAAGAGCGGTAAATTATCCACGACACCATATAATCCAACTCGAGCCCACGTGGAATTCCCCTTCATCTCCATCGACTTCAAGCCCTGTGGTCGTGCAGATCCAAAGGAATATGAAGGTGGTGAATGCGACGAGCCGATTACTGGTTCGTCAAGCTCAGAACCTGTCACCATCGACCCCAATGCAATTTTTATTCGCATCCCTGGCATCGCCTCAACGAGTCTGGGGAGGAACCATATCAATACACCCCCGGTGCCTCCTTCAACACAGCCAGCAAGTTCAAACCTCGAAGATTTCGATGTGACGGACGAACCAAGGCGCACCTTCTGTCCACTAGAGCTGCGTGAGCCGATCATTGGTCAAATGGAGCGCCACTTTTGTGCTCATCCCCTCCTACCTGGTTATTCCCACCCAAGTTCCGCTGGAATTAAATCTTGGGCTGTCAAACAGATGTACACCTTCTGTTTTGAGAACGATCTGCCTGAGGTCTGGGCATATCTGTGGGAGAACTGGTATCGCCAGGGACGATGGGAACTCTGGGCACGCGCAGAGGATTCTCAGATCCCACGGCTCAAGACCACAATGATGGTGGAATCCCAGTACGTTGCATTTTTGACAACAGTGTCATATTCTAATTGAACATTAGCTGGCGCCGTATCAAGAAAGACTTCCTGCACCACTTCCACATGCCACGACTCGATCTTCTTGTTTGGATTCTTGTCAAGAAGTTAGCGCCCTCATATTACGAAAAGCTCAAGAATATGACCGTGGAAATTGGGCGTTTCCGTTCACTTGGATCGTGGCGTAAAGCCTTCAAGCGCGAGTGGAAACGGTGCAAGTCTGCCACAATTACACTTCCACTTAACCCCAAATACCGAACTGATGTGCGCCAATGGAAGTGCACTTGTGATTATCTTCCCACCAGCCGCTTTCTCATCTGCAAACATCTGGTTCAAGGATTGGAGCCCGTTGCACCAATTTTCTTCCTTGAGGCTTCACGCAACCGAACTGCGCCTTTCTGGGCGCATCCAGCACTCGTTCCCCTTGGCTCAAACATGCCAATTTGCACCGATGCACATGTGGTTTCCCCAAACAGCCTGCCTGTACACAACAATCATGACGACGTGCCGGAGGATTCCGACGATGAGGAGATGGTTGAAGTCACTCAGGCAGCGCCAGGCACGTTTAATGAACGCCTGACCGAGCACCTCGCAATAATCCGGGATTTTTGTGATGGCCTGGAATACCAGCGTCAGTTCATGGATTCTCGCATGCTTGATGCGCTGGAGCGGGATGGAGCTGCATTTCTGCGCCTTGCGCACAACTGCTTGAGCCGTGAACGGCGCCATAACTCAAGCAGAAGTGCCACTCCTACAACTTGGGAGCAGTCCACCTCAAATGCGATGTTTTATCGATCGAGACCGTCGCTTGCTGACCGAGATACATAATTTGTCTTCGTTTCACTGATGTGTTACACTCCAAAAAAATAGCTACTTATTTATACCTAGGAACTATAGGTCACACAAATAAATTTGGTGTCTGACGTGTCGTTGTGAGCGTATACACGTTGAATATATTGGGATATTGGTTTGACGTGGGAAGATGACGTACAGCACGTGATGTCTGGGGCGGGGTTGAGCAAGGGAACTTTATGCAGAAGACGCTCGTTCGAATCGAGCCTTGGTCATTCAGTGGTGCCTGCTTCTTCTTTTTTTTGGGGGGGTGAGGTCCTCGAATTCCCACATGGGTCCAGTAGACAAAATAAATTTAGATCTATCTGCCCACTACATTTTTATGTACTTGCACGCGAATTATTTGGAGGCACGTATTTTTTGGTGTTTCGAATCGTCACGGCGTGACATCTGATCTCAATGCTATTGCCACCAACCTTCGAGATGGCACACTGGCTCGACGTGCAGCTCCGTCCACGCACGTCTTCGACCTCGGCGTCGAGATCTCATCTGACATGGGCCCAGTGCTGGGGAGGGTGAATGTGCTGCAGTGGCATCTCGAGCAGAAGCGGCGAATTTTGGATTGAATTTGGTGTTTTGGTTTGAAGGGATGGTGGAGAAGGAGAAGGACGGCTGGTTCAAGGACGTCGACCGCGTGTGCATCGGCGATGGCTGCTGGCTCAACGGCGCACCCAGCCGCGGACCTATGGTCTGCGCGGGCTCGGTATTTCAAGCTGACGCTCGACTTGCATTCGGGTCCATTTTTTCCGGTATTTAAATTGGTGATACTCAAGAATCAGCATTCAGGCGTTGTTGGCCATACAGTGCACGACCCCATGACGGACCTCGCCACGTTCATGAGCATGCTCAACGCGCAGGGCAACATCCCGGCGACATAGTCAGCATCGCAGACGTGGAGGAGCGGTGCGTTCTTTCTCTTGTTAATATACCGTGTACTTAGTAGTGTTATCAGCGCACTCTACGAAATACGCGACTACACCATCGTGGACGCGTCGCGGGCCGCAAGATCAAGCTCTCGGACAACAAGGCGAGTGCTTCTCCGCCCTCGTATGCTCCCCCACACTCGCTAACCCCATCCTCTCCAGGTCAAAGTCCGCATGCGCCTGCCCTCGCCCTCGCTTCACGGCATCGACAGCGCGTTCTCCGGCCCCGGCGCGAAAGACAGTCATCCCCGTAAAAGTCGGCGGGAAGTTTAGCACAGGGTCC